AATCTCAAAAAACTTAGAAACCAGTAAGAAATTGTGGAAAGTTCTGCTTTCCTCCCACACTGTTACGTAGTGGGATGGGACTATGGCATTGCCTTTCACCCTCTTACAATATCACACTATGACACCAGGCGTTGGAGATCTATTTTTAATTCAGTAGCTGAGTTAGAACTAGCACAGGTATGTCTCCTCAAGCTGGAAATAAACCTCGAACCTGAAGTGTATGCACAATCTAAAGACAAGATGTAACAGGAACACACAAGTCAGTGACTCAAGATGGGGATGGAGAAGACACAGCAACTGTGTCAATTAACACCTCAGTCTTTCAGTCCCATGGCAAGATTCATACTCTTCATTTGTGGACAGGCATTTTCAGCTCCCAGTGAAGAAGGCTTTTCATGTATAAGGAGTTAGCCCCAATTCTACAAAGCATGTGGTAAATCCCATTAATGAGGCAGATCCTGAGCGGGTGCAAAAGGTGATCACTCTGTTGAAGTCAGTGGAGGCAGTTGAAGATCTGCCCCCACTGACTTTGATAGGACTAAACAGGTGCGTAAATGTCTTACTGACTACAGATCTTAAAAAGGATCACTCATGACAGCTTTGATGGGAGTTTTCATACTGGCAGCTTTAATCACAAATTAAAAATTAACTAATCACTTTAACGTTCAGCAACTTCTAAAATTACTTTCAATAAACAGATGCAATAGTAAAGCTGTTTTGGTTGTAGAGTGATTTTGGAGATGTTAATTCCTGTGATCAATTAAAATAATGTGAAAAATAGATGTGGCTCTCCTTTAACATATAAGTTTTCATTTAAATAAAACAAAAATAAAACATGCCATCACTAGCACTCAGATGACCTTCCAAATTTCTATGTACAGTATCTATGGATATTTAAGTATAATTAACATCTTCCATTTCAGTATTTAACTTGTTTAAGTTCTGTTTTTTTAGCGGTCAAAAGCTAATCAATCTTGTTCTCAAATGCTAATACAAGCAATTAAAAATAACATTAATTGAAATACTGCAGGGGCTGTACTTTTTTTTTATTTTAACCTCATGGCAACACTAATTTACAGTACTAATTAGTGAATTGCCCTTTGTATTATAAATCTTTGGAAGGGAGAACTGGCCTTTAAAGCCCAACAGAGAGATGCAGATGGTCACTGCACTTTCAGTAAGCCTGCATGCCAGCACTCAGAATATTTTTTTCACCTCGTAGACCAAATGTGATAGAATCTATTATTTACAATGAAAACTATTAATTTCTTTTGCAGACATTTTGAAAACTATTAATTTCTTTTGCCCATTTGCAATGTTGTAAAACTTGCAAATATGCCCTGTAGAATAAAATAACATTCCACCAATATCCTAATTAAATGCAAGAAAATATTTCCATCTTGTCCAGTACTACAGGAGGAGTAGGTAAATGGTAAATAAAACATGCTGTAACATGTAACAAGGAAGAATGGGCAAAAAAACACAAATAAAATAAACTATATATTTTAGTTTTGAGTCAATGTGATATAAGAACTTTTCACTGTGCAATTAGATATCGATAACTGACAAAGCACAAAACATTAAATAAAAATTAAATCATTCCTATTTTCCCTTGTTTTTAATGTAAATCCAGTTTAACATTAGGGCTGTTCAACCCTCTATCCCATGTAACTTAGGGTATCTTAAAGTGAACATGAAAGACATCCAGAAATGTACCATGGGCTCAAAGTGACTTTGTCTACACTAAGGAGAAGATTGACCCGCTGAAGGTCAATCTTTTAAGCGTTCAATTTAGCGGGTCTAGTGTAGACCCCCAAATCATACACTGAGGGCATCTCCTGACGGCATTGTGTACTCCTCATTCTGTGGGTAAGGGAAGCCGATGGGACTGTGTGCATTTTGTATAGCTAGATGGTGTACACTAAGCCAACCTGCCTGGTCTAGTGTAGAGTAGGCCTTAGTGACCACACTATAATCTAGGCAAACAACAAAAGAGCCCTACTTCCTTTTTAGGCTACCATTACAGCACTTTCCTGGTGAGACAGGGCTCAATTTTACAATATACTTAGTAACAGTGCAATTTGAGGGTATATATCGTGTCACATCAGGGAAAAATCAGGACCACTGAGAGGAATTTTTGGGGGCTTTTTAAAAACTGGAAATGAAATGTGTCATGCTTTTATTACCTATGCAAGCAGAGTGCTAGACAATGCCTATTACAGTGTGCATATGCACATGCTGAGACAGTTATAACCAAGGGAGGATGGAAAGTAATAGTTTCCGACTGATGAGTCAACAAGAATTGAAGGAAAAATTATCTCACTATGTTGGAGTGGTCAGTTCCATAAGGACTATGTAATACCATATAGAATTCCTATTTATTATGTTCATTAGGCAGGTTGCACACACTAAATAAATGAATCAGGCAAATATACCATGAACACAGTAGTAAAGGCCTGACATCCCAGAAATCCAAGTAAATCCCTTACAATAGAAAATAATGCTATCCCTGACTGTATGGATTAGATGAAGGATCTCCTGTTATGGGAAGCCAATGATATCATTTTGCAAAAGCAGGAAACCCAAACTAACAGACTTGAAGCATGCAATAAACCTACTCAGGGATCTAAATCCAAAACCACTGACTCAAAAAGCCTGTACACTGCATGTAAGTATTAAAAAAGGATTGCTGAGAATCTCACTGACATTTCATTAATTATGTGTTTAAGTGGAACTATCAAGCATGATGCAGAAGTGGTTAGTTCCTAATAAAAATGCTGATTCAATTATATTAGGTGGGTTGTTGTCGCAATGCGCCTTAAAGCCCTATCTCTTCACCTTGCATGAATATCAGGAGATGCACACAGTCCTTCTTACACAATATGCTTGAGAATGATGTTAGATCATACTCTGTAGTTGGCTTTTACTTCATTAGGAAGCCTGGTTGAAAGGACTCCTTAGGACTCTCCCCTGGCCTGGCATGTTTCAAAGATACCTGTGTTGTAAATAACACTGATAAGCAACAGACTTTAGCCACAAAAGTTTATGATCCATCTCCTTGGCTGAAGCTAAAATGAATGCAGAATAACTCAGGGGAGAATCTCTTAGCTTGTGCTAGATGCTGTTGGACCCCTGGGACCAATATAACAGCCAATGATGGCAATGTTTGGAGTGTAGACAAGGATTTTATGACAGTCTATGCTATGTTGCAGTAAAAATGCTGGTAGCCAGTGGTGTTTTGTCTACATTAGGGTTCTCAACATTTCCACCAATGGCAGAGTTACTCTGTTGTTAGCAATGCTGGAAAATTCTAGTGCAAACAAGAAAGTGAATAAAATGCTCCTTGAAACAGACACAATAAAGTAGCAGAAGAGAAAAGAGAAAAATATAAAAAGTTTCTTCCACAGCAAGGAAAGAAAAATCACACCAAAGGGCTATGTCTAGACTGCATCCCTTTTCCGTAAAAGGGATGCAAATTAGACACATCGCAATTGCAAATGAAGTGGGGATTTAAATCAGCTACTTTATTGTGTCTGTTTTTCCAGAGCTTTGCTGGAAAAAAACACCAGTCTAGATGGGGATCTTTCAGAAAATAAAGCCTTTTCCGAAAGATCCCTTATTCCTCTTAAAATAAGGAATAAGGGATCTTTTGGAAAAGGCTTTATTTTCTGAAAGCTCCGCGTCTAGACTGGCGCTTTTTTCCGGCAAAGCTCCGAGCCGGAAAAAAGCGGCATCCATGTTTATGCAAATGAAGCAGGGGGGACTTAAATCCCCGCTTCATTTGCAATTGCGATGTGTCTAATTTGCATCCCTTTTACGGAAAAGGGATGCAGTCTAGACACAGCCAAGGAGTATAATTGTGATCCTAACTTTCCTCTGAAAACTGCTGTTGCCAACAAGCCTCACATTGCAGTTGGTGAGCTCAAGTCTTCCATCGATAATGTCAAAAGCCAAGAGGTTAATTTTTCATATAAATTGATTTTAAGCGGATATTCAAAAGTTATTGCAACTTAAATTTTATATTGAACTTTGCATGTTAGATCATGATAAGCTGGGCCACCTAGAGAGGAGGCATAAGGGAAAAGAGAACACAAGTTTAAGATTTAACTTCAGTATAAGAGCTGAATATAAAATTCTTGTTCTTGATTAATCTATTTCCCCATCTGTAAAATGGAAAACATAATAACTGCACCCATTCTTTCAAAAGCACTTAGAGATCCTTGAATGAAAGACACTACACAGAGTAAGAGAAAAGTGTTATTAATTTCTCTCTTTCTCTCTC